TATTGAAAATAGTATGCTTACTGACATTACTCCAAAAAACATCAGCACAAATTCAATGGCACACTTCCAGGAGCTGGATAAAACCCAACCTCCACAGTCTTTCACTGTTTATCCCATAGGACAGTAATTCTTACCGGAGTACAGGAGAGGTGAGGAGAGCAGAATTTCAAACTATTTATGTCTTGATAAAGGCTCTCTGATGCTTTTTCTAATGGGATGTGTCCTCAGTCTGCAGACACTCCCCGCCCTGCTCCCCAACTCATACATACACATAGGCTGAGGATTTTCATGTGTCTACATGTTTCTCATGGGACAATACTGTCCAGGTCAGTGACATAGAGACAAAAAGCTCAAGACAATGTTGTAGAACATTTGACTAACCCAGGAGAGAAGGGCCCTTTTGACGGGAAGCCTAGCAAGTAATCTATTTCTTGGTTACAAATTTAAATGTTACCTTTGAACCTGAGGCCAAGTTTCAATTCATTTATTTTTCCCTCCTCGGAATTCATCAGAACGGAAACAAAACAAAAAGGCCCTATTCTTTATATTTAAAATGTAACTTTCTCCTTCCATAGGTGAATGGCTAACCAAACTGTGATAAATCGACACAGTGAAATATTCATCAGTGAAAAAAAGAAATGAGCTCTCCAGCCTTAAAGAGATGTGAAGGAAAAAGGCAAAACTATGGAGTCAGTAGAAAGGTAAGTGGTTGCCAGGGAGAGATGATTGTGGGGAGAACAGATTTTTTAGGGCAGGGGATACTGCGATAGTAGATACATGGCATTATACATTTGTCAAACTTGTAGGACCTAGGACACAAAAGATGAGCCCTAATGTAACCTATGGACTTTAGTTAATAATAATGTATCACTATGGGCTCATCAGTGCTAACAAATGCATCACGTATCTTAAGTAAGGTCCACCCAAGAAAGAATGAATCAGTCAGAGAAGGCTGCATAAAGAAAAAAAAAAAAAAAGAAAGAAATTTATCCTGGCCTTTAATCCATAGGTAGGATCTGACAGACAGGGGAAAGAGCGCAGGGCACAGGCAGAGGGGAACAGCAATGGCCAAGATGTGGAGGTAGGACTGAGCTGGTTATGCAGAGGAATAGTGAGGAAGAGGCACCAGGCCCAGCAGAAAGGAAGTGGATCTGGGAGATAAGGGAAATAAGTTTTAATACATACAGTGGAGCCAGATTATTAAAGCCCTTGAAAGACAAACCAGCGGAGTTGATATCTGATAAGAGTAGGTAGTACAGAGCCTTAGCAGGTGTTTGAATAGGGGACAAGACAGTCAATCTGCTTTCATTACTCATGAATTTTGTATTTTGTATTTAAACAGTCACCTCCTTGCTAAAATTCCTTTGGAACAGTGATGTGGGCACGTGTGCAACAAACAAACTAAAACCCAAACCAAACCAAACCAAACCAACTAACAAAACCCCGACTCAAGATGTTAACAGTAAGGGGAACTGATGGGAGGTGGTATATCAGAACTCCCAGTACTTTCTATTCAGTTTTCCTGTAAACCTAGAACTGCACCTGAAAATTTTCATTAAAAAACAACTGTAAAAGCTAACAATATATGTATATATGTAAAGAGAAAAGAAAAAGGAGCTTACTTTTGGTTCACGATTAGCCATTCCCGAATATAAGTCTGAACACAGTCCCTGACATGAGGGTCCAGTTCAACCCTAATGAGGTGGAAAATGAAATAAAATCATGTTAGTACCGGATAAAGACAACAAAACAATCCCTTATCATAACCAAGGAGAGCAGCATGATTCAACTCCGTATCAAGCGAGAACGCCAGGGGCATTCCTCCCCATTCATCAAGTGTCTGGAGCATTCCTCAGGCGACAGCATTTTTACTTTGATGAGAGAAACATATTGGCATTTGATGCTTTGTGGGTTTTTTTATTATAGAGAATCATGTTAAACTATACCTATCCCTTAAAGGCATTCCAACACCAGACAGGTAGAACTAGCTGTAATCACATACATAACCAGAAAAATAAGTATAAATACCAAGTTCTCACAGGGGTAATTTGGGCATATTTTTTGCTCATGTGTAACCTTGTTAGGACACGCGCATTTCCCTTTCGGAAAGCCATGACGAAGAACAGCTGTCTTGTGCTTCGAGGAGTTGACACTGGCTTTGGTCGGTGATTCTTAATTGGGGCAGTTCTTGTCATACCTGCATAAGAGCGTGCCATGAGAGATACTTTCCAAGGGTGCCAGAGTCTTGAAATAACCAATTCCACAGAGTAGCAAAGCTTTTTGCTGTTTTTCCAAGTGTTTTGGTATTAGAGATGAATGGGTCTAAACACTACATACTAAATACTGACTGCCCAAACCCTAGCCCCATCCCTTATTAGCTATGTGGCCTCGGGCCATCCTTCTATGCCTCAGGGTCCTCATCTTAGAGTACTATTCATAGAGGAGTGCCTCCTTCAGAGAGCTGTGATGAGGATTAACTAAGTCAATGTGGAAGCGCTTAGAAGCGTGTCTGGCACATAGTAGGACCCATGGAGGATAGCTCATGCCTCCGACCCACTTACCATGCCCTAGGTACTGATGTAACCACCGTACACATGTTAATTCGGTTATTTCTCTCTTTTTGAAAAAACTCAGTAATTCTCCCGAGGGCATGGGCATGCACTATTACTCTCATTTTGCAGAAGAGTGAGATGAGAAGGACCTGGCTCAAAATCACCCAGCAGGCGAAGAGCAGGGACTTAAATCCGGGCCTTTCACCTGTGGAGTGCAGGCTTCTAACCAGCACACTGTCAGAGCTCACCATGAAGTTCTGGGTCAACGGGAATCAGCTGTTGTTTACTCTGGTGATGACGATGATGCTTTCCTGGGTTTTGATTATAATGGCAGACTTTTCAACCTCTGAAATAGCAGAGGTTGTTTTAAAGTCATCAGACAGACAGTGTGAGCTAGAAGTTCTGATTGCAAGGCAATATTATACTAAATTACTGATGCTAAGGAAAAAAACCTGCCTCTTTAACCAAAATTCAAAAATCCCATCTCTAAATTTATTTTAAGTATCTTAAATAGGATTTTCCAAGACTCTGACCTCATTTGAAAATAATTAAATAAGCAACCATAAATTTCAGACAAGGAAATGATATGAAATGATTCTGTCAATGGTGACAAAAATAGACCTAACCTACATGAAAGTTACCCTTGAATAAATGGGCTGACAACGGGAGAAATGTTTTCCACTGTTTGTTTTCTGGGGAGTGAATATTTCTAAAACGTCTGAGCTGAGCACATGATGAGCTCTCCTATGTGAATAAGAACTATCGAAACTGGAGAGCAAAGACTCATAATAATACCATATCACTGTCACCCCACATCCTTAAACTATGATGGAAGAAAATCCAAATGAGAACTAGAATATACTGCACAGTACTGGGGCGGGGACTGTGTTTCATGATCTCCCTCCGGGGACTTCTTTTGGGGAAGGTGACGACGAGGTTGAAAATGTCCAGGAGAGAGACGTGTATCTTAATTCTGTTTTGAAAATAAATGCAAATAAAAGTTCATCTTAAACCTCTAAAGAGGTATTGCTTTTTCCACCATGGAAGTACCAAGAGTTTCATTGGGATATAATTCCATTGTTCGCTACAGAGAGCTAATGCCCGCACCTAGAAACACATAGACTAACCCACCGTAGAAACTCAAGCTCTAACCAGCTCTTCACATATTCACTCTCCAGAGCTTTCCCCACTGCCACCCCACTTGGCAAAACTTTCTTCCAAGGAAGGAACTTTGCCCTACTCACATAGTAGATGCTCAATAAATGTGGGTTGAACTTGTCTGGGACTTGATCCCGTCTCTTAGGTGGAAACAATTCAAATGCTTCTGAATCATTTCACTGATTATTACTGAAAAACTTGACATTTTTACAAATGGAGAAACTGAGGCTCTGGGAGCTCACGGGAGTCGCCCAAGGTCCAGGCTCCCAGGCCTCCCCCTGCACCTCTCCTCCTCTCCTTGAGCATCCCCTTAACTGGCTTAGTCCCCACATGCCTTTTCAAAGCCTCTGGTCAAACCAATTTAAAAACGATCACAGGTGCTAGTAATATGCAGTCATCCTGTACACCCCCTTAATGGATCTGAGTAACTTTAGTTTCAAAAGAAGTCCAGACTTAAGGCATCTCCCCTGCTCACCGATAACAGTCACGACATCACACGCATCTACAGTTTAGGAACACGATTTACCCTTCCTCCGGTAAAGAAGGCTGCAAAGTGCGACATTCCTTTGGCGTGAACACCACGTCCAAGTCATCTTCAGTGAAGTCTCCCAGCTCCTGGGCGAGCTCCGCATCCAGGCTGTTCAGCTGTGTCATCAGAAGTCCTTCAAAGTCCACCGGCTCCACCGGGTCATAAAACTGAGGCTGCAGAGATAAGGAGAAGGAAAAGGACGTTCCCACAAGGTTTCCAGAAAAAGCACCAAGGCGACAGTCGGCGAGCCCCGGGCCTGCCCCTTCCATTCAGCAAGGGCTTGCCTCCGAGTGCACAGCCCAGTGGAGCGGTCTTCCGAGGGGCCTGTCAGACAGAGAGGCAGTGATATGGAAAGGGAAAGAGACACTGCACGGGAAGTCAAGTCAGAACACGGCGAGGCACCCAAATCACACCCCAAGGCAGAATTTTTCTCTGCTTAATTCCATCTTGATGAGGAATCCTGAGGAGATCCAAAATGAGATCACGAGGCTTTGCTGAATTTTATAATTTCCCCTGCAAAAGCTCTCTGAGGCCATGTTTACCCCAGTACAGTGAAGTAGTGCATGGAGGCAATTTTCCAGAAATTCGGGCCAACTCAACACTCCTTTTGTGTGAGTATTGAGGCGCCGTGTTTCCTTTGGCCTGACTTTTCCTATATGTTGCTTCTTGAAAGCACTTCATACATAATCACAGCCCATGGTGAGCCAGACTTGGTGGCGGTGATTTCCAGAGGCTTCTGGACTGACTCCTGCTGGGCAGGAAGACATTTTCACCGGGGCTGCAATTAAATGAGTAAACTAAAGGCAATTGGCTGATTTTACCTAGGCCTAAATGTACTCCCTTTTATTTTTATTTATTTTTTAATGTTCTCCCTTTTAAAGGATTGTTTTGTTTTGCTCTTCGACTATATCCACGTGCAGTGGGAAAGGACAAAAGCAATGACAGAAGTGGATGGGAATTCGAAATAGAATTTTCTCTAGTCAACAAAAGAAACAGTTGGCAATCAAGCAACCATTTTTTTTTTCTTGTCTGTGAAGTCCCCAAACAGGAACCATTGCCTTAAGGAAGTAAATGAATCAGATCGAGTGGAGCTGTGGGATGATGAGAATACCAGCAGCTCCGTGGGGTTCATTTATGGCAGGCTATTTGGAATCACCAGCCCAGGGAGGTACTGTTCTCTACTCCCCCCGCCCCCGACCATGGACCAATAAAACAAACACTCCAGACTCTCGACTTGTACTGCCTCCATGTGAAATGAGGCCAGATCCAAAGGAAATGCTATCAAAACCGGTTTTTCACCAGCCTGAAACCATACACCAGACTCGATGTGAGGGCTCCACATTGGAGAGGAGGGACAGGGCACTGCTTGCTGTTCGAGAGGCAAAAGGACATAAAATCAGAGAAGGTAGATGTTGCTGCCCTCCCTCCTCCCACCCTTGCCGTTCCTGGTCATGGTGGAGACCTGAGTGACGTGCTGGGGACTGAGGACAAAGAGAAGAACTAAGGCAACATGTGCCCTCCTCCTTCTCTGAGATTCTGGAAGGTGGCTGGCTTACATAATGTCCTGGGCCGCAGGGACAAAGGGGGCAGAAGGGAAGCAACAGGATATATTTTGGTGGAGGAGAGCAGAGACATCTCTAGCTCCGCATGGCTCCCATATGCTGTGACAGAAAGACAGGGAAGTTTCTTGGGGGGACCTGCAGGTCAGCTAAGGAGAAGACCATAGGGCTTAGAGGGTGCCTCTCAAAATGAAGAGACAGGGACCAGCAGGGGCTCAGGGAGCTGGAGATCAGCCTGGGCAGAAGCCAGATGGGGACAGAGTTTGCAAAAGGCCACTAGTGACCTCTGCCAGAGAAAATGGCAGGCATTGTCTATGCAGACCTTCTTAAGACCAACCAACCCCAAAGTAGAAAGTGAATTTTCCCACCCCTTACCACAACCCAGTACAGAGCGTTCAGAGTCAGGAACTGAAATAGAAAACTGCATTTTTTGCATACCCAGTCTTATTATTGCAAAGTTGATACCCAGGAAGCCAATAATTATGGAGCACTTACTATGTGCCAAGAAACTGGCTAGGTCATTATATACATTATGTCATGTCATCCTCACTAAAGCCTATGAGGTACACATTCTTACTAACCCCATTCTACAGATGAGGACACTGAAGGCTAGAGATTTAATAATTTGCCCATGGCTCCACAGCTGGGAAGGAGGCCCTCTGGAATTCAAACCCAGGCAGACTCATGTTCTTAACCACAGTGGTTGTGTTTTCTCTTGAAGGCATTTTAGGGAATCTGTACTTCCAGAAATACTTAAAACACAAGGCAATAGTAAGTGTGTTTGGAAGAGGGTGAAAACTACCTTTACCATACTACCCACAAGTTCCACTTTGTATTTCTCATGAGCCCAGCTGCTCAAAGTAATGACATAAAGTAATTAATTAATTACAGTAATAACAAATGTAAATTTATTATGAAGAATGTCAATCCCTCAAGCCGAGACACTTTAAATATATACTTAAAAATAAATTATACTGGGCGCCTGGGTGGCTCAGTTGGTTAAGCGACTGCCTTCGGCTCAGGTCATGATCCCGGAGTCCTGGGATCGAGTCCCACATCGGGCTCCCGGCTCATCGGGGAGCCTGCTTCTCCTTCTGACCCTCTCCCCCTCATGCTGTTTCTCTGTCTCTCTCTCTTTCTCTCAAATAAATAAATAAATAAAATCTTTAAAAAAAAATTATACTGAAGCACAATTTGGAAGCATTGTGATGCTAGCATTAATCACTAGTAAGTAGAAGCTTCCACAGAGAAATGGCATTTGTGCAAAATCATCGGAGAGAAGAAAATTCAGGTCCAGCCAACGTAGTAGACTTGTCGTGACCCTGAAAGCCAGAGCTACAAATGATGACAAACCTGGCTGAGAGCAGCACCTGTTACCTACAGGACAGGCTGTCTAGGAACCTGGGTGACAAGGACGGATGACTCCCTCCTTCAGGAAGGGTTTCCTGAGTGTCTGCTGAATGCCAGTCACTGAGCAGGGCGGGGGAGGGGTACAGAAGAGTCAGGTAGCTCCTCTCCAGCATCTTTCCAGAGATCTCTAGTCAGCCATGAGATGGTGCAGTTTGCCACATTCTCACAGATAAATCATCCTATGTTTGAAGAGGGCAGCCATGATAAAGGACACGGTAACCTCACTGAGCACTAACTGTGGGGCCATGTGCCAAGTGTCATCGATATACGGGTTTGATCGTAAAGTCAAACTCTCGAGGTCGCATATATTTCAGGACTGAGCAGACTGTAAACATCAACCATATGAGAGAATTACTGAGTATGGTTCCAGCGCAACAGACAAGGTGACATTTGACTACTCTCCCCTACTCTTTCTACACTGAAATGGACAAGGGAGGAAACTGTCCATTCCTAATGTGATGTAAACTACTCTTTGGCAAGTAGGTGGAGACCCGAAGTACTGTGAACAGGGTCTCCGAGGACGTTGTTCTGCTTGCAAATTCACATAATAACCAGGAACCTGGGGCGCCTGGGTGGCTCAGTCATTGGGTGTCTGCCTTCGGCTCAGGTCATGATCCCAGGGGTCCTGGGATCGAGCCCTGCATCAGGCTCCCTGCTCAGCGGGAAGCCTGCTTCTCCCTCTCCCACTCCCCCTACTTGTGTTACCTCTCTTGCTGTGTCTCTCTGTCAAATAAATAAAATATTAAAAAAAAAAAAAAACAGGAACCAAAAGAGATTTCTGTTTTCTAAACTCTGAAGTCTGCATCTCAAGAGTTGGTTTTATTTTGAAGCAATCAACACATACACACAAGCACATACACTATGCTGATCTAGGGATAAGCAAAGGGAGGAAACAAATATTGAACAGAATTGCAGTGGTATTTTATTTCATTGGGGGCTGAAGTTTGAGAACAGGGTGGGGGGATGGTCTAAGGTCAGTCCTTAAGGCAAGACTGGGGCTCTTGGGAACTTAAAAGCCAGACAGGAAAATTAACTATTTTGTTTTCTCTGCTGTTGAGTACATATGGCCTGTTAGTCAGTGAAGACCCAAGACTAGATTAAATGGTATAATCCAAAGTAATTCCAAGAAAGTCCCCTTAGACCATGAATTACGACATTGCCACCATCACTTGTTAAAATAATAGAAGAAAAAACCCCAAATAATCAAAATAGAAACCAAAAAAAAAAAAAAACCCTTCAAAAAAAAAACAACAAAACTCTTAAGACGACAAATAATCCTAAATCAGGTTTTATCTATCATGACTGTCGACTTTGCTAGGCTGAACTACATTCCCCGAATTTACTTCCTAGTATGTTTCTAGTCAGAGTGGGCTCCAGGATGTTTCTCTTGCTACAGCTAATTTGGAGCATACATACACCTTCTACTGATACAACCAAACACTAATTTAGGTGCTGCTGTTGAAAGGATATTACTAATGTAATTAAAGTCCCTAATCAGTTGACTTTAAGTCAATGTAAAGGGAGACTCCCCTGGGTGGCCTGACTTAATCAGGTGGATGCTGACTTAATCAGGTGACAGCCACCTCCTAGTTCAGGGACTCCAAGCTTGAGCTCCTGTCCATGGAGCTCCAGCTTGCTTATGATCTTGCCTTCCTGACTGCTCTGTGGACTCGCTTAGCCAGCCCCCACCAGTGGGTAAGCCAATTCTCTGCAATCAACTCCTTAATATCCGTGCATATGCATCTCCTCCTGGTTCCACTGCTCTGACTAAACCTGGACTAATCTGTCTACTTCCATTCATTTAACAAATACTTCCCGGGGTCCTACGGTGGTCCAGCTCTAGGTGAGGAGACACAGTCATTGCCCCGGAAGCAATTTTCAACACTTCTCTAGTGAAGACTTGTGCAGTCTTTCTCTCTAGTTACTTTTTGCAGAGGCCTCATTGACAGAAGACTAGAAACACACAAGAAGATTATAAATACCCTAAACGCTTCAATTATTCACAGCCAGAAATCCATGTTTTAATTAAGGGAGTTTGAGCTTTTCCTTGTCCCCTTATGCACATCAAAGGCTAGTTCTCCTGACATGAATTGGATTCAATTTGTTCTGAAACTGACAATTCCTACAGCACCAGAACCGTATCTGTTTAAAATGAATCTGTATAGGGGCGCCTGGGTGGCTCTGTCGTTAAGCATCTGCCTTCG